CCAGGAGGGGCGCGTCTCTGGGAGGCAGTGACGGCTGGAGGAGGACTTGTTTTTAAGGGAGGTAGGTGGGAGAGCTCTGCTAGAGGGCACTGTCAGACCCTGCGCCGGCTCTGCGGAGCTGTCAGCCTCGGCAGCGAGGAAACCAGCTTTCCTTGTAAATCCTCAGCTTGTTACAGCTCTCTCCCCGGCGGGTTTCAGGTAATATGGATGTTTCTCGGGACTGCGTGGGTTGAGGAGATGGTGAGAAGGTATTTACAATGTTTAGTTTCCTTTTGGGCTTGTCTCCTGAGGAGTTCTTTAAAGAGTGTGAGCCATGGTCCTTCTACAATCCTGGGCATTTGTGAAATTTTTGTTTTAGAGGACACCTAAGTCTCCAAGTCACCTTTTGTTTTCAGTAGGTCAACAATAACAACAACTAAAATTAAAAATGTCTTCCTGGCACCGCCAACTTAAAGTACGAGTTTGCTCACAAATTGGAAAAGAGCTTTGATAGAGCTGTAGGTTTTAGATTACCTAGTTGAAAGCCTGTAGATAGGGAATGAGGTTCCATGACGTGTCATGAAAAGTTAATGCATTCCTTTTTCTTGCTTACTCAAGAAGTCACTATAGCAGATGTGACACACCTGGCACCTTTCATGGGAACTGGTGATCTCTTTTCTTGAGTAGACATTGTTGGGCTCTTTTGAACTGCACCTAAAATCCTCCTATACTTTTATATATGAAAGTTAACTTGAAGAGATGGCATTTTTGTTCTCTTTAGTGTCAGAAATCTTTAAGGGAGTGGATTTTTTTTTTTTTTTTTTTGATAAGAGAAGCCAGCATAGCCTTAAAGCTGAATTTGTTGCTTGATCAATTACCGCTAAGTGTTTCCCCATGAAAGGTCTATCCATCAGTTTAGCTGACTTGTCATCATGTGTGTGTCACATGGCTCTTGCAAAATGCATTCTAAGTTCCAAGTTTTGTAAGACTGTGGTTTTATGCTGAGATGTTCTTTTTCATTTGTGCTAAGCAGAAGTCATAGTATCTTGGTAGAATTTTACATTAATTTTATTGTGTGTGTGTAATGCATGTGATTGCAGGTGCACAGGTGCCACAGTACTTGCGTGAAAAAGGTCAGGGAACAAATTTTAAGAGTTGGTTCCGTCTTCCTTTGTGGTTTCTGAAGACTGAACTCAGACAAGCAGTCTAATCATAGAGCCATCTTACTGGTCCAGACTTTTGTACTTCTTTAAGAAGTTGGGAACAGTTCATACTTGCTGTGTTGGCAGCCCCTTCCCCAAGTCACCGACTCTGCAGGACAAAATTGGTTTAGTAGAGCAAAGTTGAATTGGGTTCCTAGTTAGTTTTCCTGGCATCAGTAAAGAACTTGGATTTAATCAGCCTGGTGTTGGACGGTGGCGTAGGCGGCGAGCACTCTGGAGGCAGAGGCAGGTGGATCTCTGTTAGTTTGAGACCAGCCTGGCCTACAGAGTGAGTTCCAGGACAGCCTCCAAAGCTACAGAGAAACCTTGTCTCGAAAAACCAAAAAACCAAAACCAAAACAACAACCCCCCCCATGGATTTACTAGACTAGGGAGGTTTGTAAACCTGTACTATTTGAGGAGTTTCCTATATTTGTTTTATATGTATGTATGTATGTATGTATGTATGTATGTATGTATGTATTTGGTTTTTCGTTTTTCGAGACAGGGTTTCTCTGTGTAGCTTTGGAGCCTATCCTGGCACTGGCTCTGGAGACCAGGCTGGCCTCCAACTCACAGAGATCCGCCTGTCTCTGCCTCCCGAGTGCTGGGATTAAAGGCGTGCACCACCAACGCTCGGCAATTTTTTCTTTTTACAAAATTATAATTTCACATGTCAGTCCCTTCTCCCCCCCCAACTTCTCCCCCAGCCCCCTCCTCCCTCCACTCCCCATAGAGGGTAGGGCCCTCTACGGGCCTCCCCAAATTCCACAACATTCTCTGTGTAGCTTTGGAGCCTATCCTGGCACTCCTTCTGTAGACCAGGCTGGCCTCGAACTCACAGAGATCTGCCTGACTCTGCTTCCAGAGTGCTGGGATTAAGGTGTGCACCACCAACGTCCGGCTTTGTTACATATATTTAAATATTATTTATTTGTATGTGTGTGTGCTTGAGGTTAGAGCAGTGGTTCTTAACCTTCCTAATGCTATGACCCTTTAATACAATTCTTCATCTTGTGGTGGCCCCCAGCCATAAAATTATTTTTGTTGTCTCTTCATAACTGTACTACTGTTATAAATGGTAGGGTCTCGACCCATAGATTGGGAACCACTGGGGTAGAGCCATTCCTTGGAGTTGGAGTTACAAAAAGTTGTGAGCCTCTGATGTGGTGCTGGGAATTGAACTCCAGTTTTCTGCTAGAAACAGTACATGTTCTTAACTAATCAGTCTCTTCAGCCTGTGTTACTTATATTTTTTTAATACTGTAAGAAGATCTTGAAGATGAACTAGATGACAAAAATTTGATGTTATTCAGACTTTTAATTTGTTTCTCCTTTTGTAAAGTAGTATAAAAAGGTCATTTTTACTACGTATTAAGGTAGTAGTGTGGCTAAGTATGTAAAAAATTTGGACAGCTAACCAAAGCACATTGCAGGTGTTGTAAATCATTTTTAAGTAAGCATTTTAGTTATGCTGGGACTTAGGGATGTAAGCCTTAACCTCAAGAGCCTGTGATATAATACACAAGACACACACACACACACACACACACACACACACACACACACACACACAGCTGCATGGATCAGAGAAGTACGATTTCAGGGGAGTGTCATTTGTTGTTGTTGGCTCTTTTGGAATACTACTATAGAAGAGACATATAAGAAAATGACCAGTGCACCAGTGAGATAGATAGCTCAGCTGCTACCTTGATGATGAGTTCCATCCCTGGGACCTGCATATTCTCTGGTCTCTATGTGTCACCCTCTCCCAAGAATCTAAGTAAATATTATAAAAAAGAGAATTATTAGCACAGAAGAGAGCTAGGGAAGACTTCAAGAGGGAGAAGAGGAATGACTAGTAAATGGCAAGGAAAATAATTTTTTAAATCCCTTTTCTTAGTTTTAAGACAAGATTTCACTGTGATGTAATCCTGGCTATCCTGAAACACACTGTGTAGGTGAGGCTGGCCTTGTATTTGTCCCAGTCTTCCTGTTTCTGCCTCCCAAGTGCTGACGTTACAGATTCGAGTTACCATGGCCCTGCATGGACAATTATTTATTCATTCATTCTTTTGAGGTCTCAAGTATGCCAATATCTGGCCTATATTTGCATTCTAGATTGTATAATAAACTAGTTCAGGAGTTTGGGGAAAGGATTTACGAAATTTTAAGATGAGAGATATTTTGTTAGTGAATATCACAAGTGTAACCAATATACCAATAATGATTAAGTTATACTCTGTCTTTCATTGCTCTGTGTGTGTGTTTATGATCTACATAAAAATCAGTTATTAGGCTGATTTGGGAGAAACAAAAACCTGTTATCTTTAAGACAGAAATTAAGGGTAATGACATAAACCACTGAAAGTGTAATCCTGACATAGAAATCCTAGATGGAAAGGGTCAAAGCTTCCTTTATTCTGGAGATCTGAAGAAAGATTTGACTTTGTTGCATTTATTTTGTGTATGGAGAGGGGCACATGAATGCTACAGTGTACATATGGAGGTCAGAGCAACCTGCAGGAATCAGTTCTCTCCTACCTGAAGACCAAACTGCTTTAGTTTTGGCTGTAAGTACTGAGTTATGGCCAAGATTTGATTCAGAGCTAGGTAGTGAAGCAGGCAGTGATTATTCCAATACACTGATTGAAAATACTAAACAGTAGTGATATGGAGGGGCCTGTACTCTGAGCACTTGAGGTAGAGGCAGGAGGGTCACTGAAGGTTCTAGACCGCCTTGGCCTACATTAGTGAATTCCAGGCTATCTAGGGCTACATAGGGACCGTGTGTGTGTGTGTGTGTGTGTGTGTGTGTGTGTGTGTGTGTGTGTGTGTGTGTGTGTGTGTGTATCCCCCCCCCACAGACACACACAATTAACATTATCCCCATACAAGAAATAGTTGTCATAACCTATTAGCTTTTTTATTTTGAGACAGGGTCTCAAAGATCCCAAGCTGGCCTCAAGTTCACATTATAACCAAGGATGACCTTCAGCTTTCCGTGCTTCTGTCTCTGCCTGCTGAGTGCAAAGATGTGAGGTGCTGGGGATTGAACCCATAGCTTGCTACCAGCTGAGCTCTATCACTAGCCTTGAACTTCTTGAGTGCGTGAAGGTGTTACATGTGTGAGTATTGGGTCTACGTGCACATGTGTGTGCATGAGTTTGGTGGCCAAAGGTCAACCTCGGGTTTCATTCCTTGGGAGCTGTCCACTTTTTTATTTGTTTTTATTTTTAGCTTGATTTGATGTGTGTGTTTGCCTGTATTGTGCCTGTGCACCATGTTCATGTTGCATGCAGTGATCTCAAAAGTCAGAAGAGTCTCTCTGCATTACAGATGGTTGAGGGCTGTCCGTGCTCTTAACTACCCACCGAGCCTCCTCTCCAGTCCCTATTTATTCTTTTTGAGACAGGGCTTCTTACTGGGACCTGGGGTTCACAGAAACAGCTAGGTTGCTGGCCAGCTACCCCAGGGATCTTTCTAGCTCTACTTCCATGGTGCTGAGATTACAAGTATGGAACAGGACACCAATTTTGTTTTTGTTGGCTTTTTGGTTGTTTTGATTTTTGCTTTTAGGTGGATTCTTGGGATCTAACTCTGGTTCCCATGATTGTCAGGTAAGCACTTAAGCAATAAACCACCAACCTTTAAAAATTTTTAATAAATTATATTGTATGCGTGTGCATGTGTGTGTG